CCCCCCCAAAACGGGAGCCACACCCGACGTTCTTGATGCGGACTTCTTCAGCAAACACGCGCATCCAGTTGGTGAATTTTCATTGTGACGCTCCGTGCTCTTTCTTCCCTGGTGTTGGTCTGCATTTGTGCATCTCTGGGCGGACAACACTTGGACGCGGAATCAAGATGACTGGTGAATTCGAGCGTGAGCCATGCTCCGAGTCGTGAGGTCCAGGTGGAGCAAGTGCTGGGCAAGCTCCGTGCAGCACGCCTGAGCTTCGAGACGGAGCCGGGGCGCCCAGCGGCCGGCGAAAGCTGTGTGCCCCTGCAACCCAAATGAGGGAGCTGTAAGCCAAATAAGTCTAAGTCCAACAGTCCGGCTTCATGCTTGGTTGTAAGATGTTTCTTTGCATCAGTTGAGACTGCTAGCACAACAGCATAGCAGAATCTTGCGTCAATTTGGTTGGGCCCAGGTTGCCATGTCATGGTGGATGTCTGAGCGCTCAAGTGGTGCATTGCTCCAAAGACTAGTAACGAGTTGCGGCATGACCAGGCAAGTATGTGGCGTAACAGCGTCTCAAAGAAATCGTTTAAAGGAATCCAATTGAGTTTGTTTGCAATTCCACGGCGCGGGTGGTCCCCTGGTGCCTCAGGTGGGACCCAAAGTACGCCCGGCGCTTGGAGTGCAAGTCGGGTGCGCGGGTTCAAGGGGAGCTCCAGGATTCCCATCGTTTTGTTGCCTTGTTGCCGATGCCTACCACTGTGTGCTCCTGAGGAGCAGCTATGCCTCTGGTTCCAGCAGGACGGGACTGTGGCTCAGAAACCGTTTCTGAGCCACGAGAATGGGAGGCGTACATACGAGGCCAGCGCTTCTTGACATCGCTATGACCAATCTATGGATGTCCCCCGCCGCCCAAAACATGGAATGGCTGTGGGTCAAAACCAACGGTACCCATTTTGGGGTAGGTGCACCACCCATTTTAGTCTCTTTTAGTGGGATGTTCACTGGGGGTACGGGCTTTTGACCCATGGCCACATGTGAGTGTGAGTCATCGCATGTGCAGACAGACTTGGCCGGAACTGGCCTCCTGGGTAAGCCTTCTTGGCTCTCGTGCTTTCCAGCACGTCTATGTTTCATATTTGCCTGTATCGCACAACAAATATGTAATCCTTCAGTTGCTCCGGCATATTGAAATTGACATGGCACATGATTCGGTGTCAGACAGTCACCTTGTCGTCAAGTGAAGCGAACCAGTGCACAATGCGAACAGAGGGCCCCTTGGCGCATTTATGACGTTGGTGCTACCCCGCCCTTTCTCATTGGCCAACCAATAGCCAGCAGCCGTCAAGCCGAAGGATCCACACTCCCAGGAAAGTGTTCATCCAGGGCTCCTTGTGAATCTCTTGCGCGTGTTTTTTGGGCGGGGGGGACAGGGGTGGTGACTACAAGCCCATGAATTTACCATGGTTCCCAGGACCTTTCGTGAGCCCGACGCTCGTTTCGGGAACCCTTGCAGCCCGTGTTTTTGTTTCTCGGCAGGGAAGCACAAGGGCTTTGGGAATGAAACTCCTGAACGGGAATCGCGAGGGATGATTCACTTTCAGGTCATGGTCATTCCCTCGTTCCCCCTCAACAAGCCTAGAAACTACAACACAAGCCAAGGACAGTAAAGCTTCGGGGAGTGTGGCTCCTTCCCCACCGAGAACCAGTAACTCCATCCAGGCAACCAACGAGCTCGCCTGCAAAAATCAGGTCAAACGCGCTCCACGATCCCTGGGTGGATTCCTTCTTTCCAGTTTGGTAATGTCAATCTGCTCAGATTCCACGAGGTCAAGGGGGCGTCTTGTCATCGCGTCATGAGCATTCCCTGAGGAGGGCAAGCGCGGCTCGGAGGAGTTCTTCGGGATCTGGGAGAGTCACTTGGCAACCCATGAACCCATGTTGTGTCAGTGTTTGTGTCTGTGTGTGGGTGTGGGGGTGGGTGCGTGGGTGGGTGGGTGGGTGGGTGGGTGGGTGGGTGGGTGGGTGGGTGGGTGGGTGGGTGTGTGTGCGTGTGTGGTTATTTTGGTTGGGGAAGCCCTTTGTTTCACACCAAGGTGAACCTGAAGGCTATTTGGGTGTGGCTCAAAATTCAAGAGCTTTCGTTGCAGCCATTTAGGGACAAGCCCCTTTTGGAGTGTTCCGAACACTGGGGCCGCTTCCCTTGTTCAACAAATGCAATCCAGTCCAGAAAGAGGGGCCTCCCAGGAAAGGACATCCTGATCTCATCGCCCCGCAAACCTGGTCGTAGGTTCGAGCATAGCAGGATCTACAGGTTTTGCGCCGGCCCACCTAGCTTTGCAGAACTAAAGTCCAGTGGATGACACTCGAATGAGCATTCAGCCCGCCTTGCTTTTTGGTGGATGTTGGAAGCGATTGCGGATGCTCTGATGCAATCATGAGTTTGCATAGATTTGCCTGGTGTAGTCCAGCCTGAAGCACGGGACGAGGCCGGAACATTTTTGCAATGTATCCAGCAAACAGAGCCAGTTCATTCAGGGTAAGCCTGGCCCAAATGCAGCAAGACTTCTTTCATAATATTATGTTGGACAACCGGAAACACGCTTGTCCCATTTGCTCAACACAATTCCGGTGACAATGTCCTGTATGCTTGTCTTTTGAAGCGCCGCATGACTTCCGTGATGCACCGTTCCTTTTGCTGACAGAAGCTGGCCTGGCAGCTACGTACTGCTGTGCATGGCTATCTCAAGCCGACAAGTTCAGCCACGATCTTTTGTCCGTGCGTTCAACCAGTGGAATTTGTGATGTTCAGGATTGAAACTTGTGTTGGGGGCCCACATCGGCATCTTTGTTGATACCCTTTTTGGGGTGTTGTTCACCAGGGAAGCCAAAGGCACACCCATCCATTTGTGTATGGGTCAAAATTAGACCACTAAAGGACCGCAGGTTTTAATCCTTGTTTCCATTTACAAGGGCAACCCATTTTAGGTACCTATTGTTGACCCACAGCCGTTTCGGGCCCACTCCCCCATTTGTTCTCCCCAAGCGCGGGTGCAGCGCCGACACTGCAGGCTTCCTGGGCGATCTGAAGAAGGCGTGGGAGTGCCGCGGCCCCGACGGGCCGTCGCCTTTTTAGGGATATTGTGTACATGTTGCCTTTCAGTGGTGTTGTGTTCAAGGGTGCCACATATAAGGAACATTGAGCTGCTTGGGTGTAAAGAGGCGGGCTTTCAATATCTTTCAATAGGGTGCATCTATGTTGCGGATTGCAATGTTTCTTTTGAACAGTCAGAGGCCATGGAAGTGTCGCATGGAGTGTCAAGGCGGGAGGCGAGCCATGGTCATCCTGCGCAGTACTGCTTCTGGTATGTTGTATGCTCAATGAGACAGTGGTTCGGGTGGGTACCTTACAGCAAACAGAATAATCCTTTGATTGCAGGCTTGGGGATTTGTGACCACATATTTAACATATGCCTCAATCATGCTGAATCAGCAACAGTTCCACGATACTTCTGTTACTATGTGGTGCTCGTCTGTTTGGCTGGTCTCAGCCTTGTTTCCCGGACCATGGGCACATATCAGAAAGGTATTTCATACTGACACAGCAAGTCACGGCAAGCGAGCAGCCACGTCGCCAGGTGGTATGTTGAGCCTTTCCTCGCATGCTGAATACAGCCATCACACACAATGGAAGTGACGAAGCCTTTACCCAAGCAAGCTGAGAACAGTTGGTACTCGCACTTAGGCTATGAGTTCCCCATTCCCATAGCACAGATACCTGCAGTAGGCCTGACTGCAAGCTTTTCTTTGGTTCACGCACGTTGACGAGGTGCTCCCAACTTCCAAGGCTCCGAGTCCTTCCGGAGAGCTGACAAGGGAAATGGCTGCTTTATGGAGAATGCCGGCGGAAAAGCATGGGGAAGACCTCCCTCGAACTGTTCTCGGGGAAGTGCTACTTTACGAGGGTCTGATGAAAACCCGAACCGACGTCCCAGGACTTGCCAGGTATCGGCTTTGTCTTTACAGGCAACCTTTCACAAACGAACGGCCAGGTCTTTTGTATTTTCACACAGAACCCCCAAAGAGCCTCAAGAAACCACAGCAGAGCATGAATGGCCAACACTTTGTTGGTTTCACACGGTTTCCCTGCAAGCGGAAAAGGGGAATGAGCCCGGAACCGAACCACTTCAAACGACTCCACCCGAGGCCACCAGCGAGAGCATCTGCAAATCCGCCGTGCCTTGTCCTTGCCACCGAGGCCGGGGATGCCACCCAAACGGTCGGTTGGGTGATGAAAACATATCCCAGCTCGGACATATTTGTGAACCACTGTTTAGCCACAAGCTCTTCCCATGCGCTGCCAGTGATTGTTCCTCACCATTGGATACAGCGAGTGAAGGAGCTCCTGCCATGTGAGGCCGTCGACTGGGGTTTGAGTGAAAGTTGGTAGAGAACTGCGCCTCTCCATGGGACTGCTCCAGAAACCTCCTAGCGGTGGTGCACTTTGTTTCCTGCAAAGGCTCCCTTGAGGTTCACGCAGACCTGCAAACCACCATGTCGATGACAGTTGCAATTTGCGGCACCCAAAGGGAATGCCGGGCGTGTGCATCATGACGGTTGCCTGCTCCAGTTGGAGCAGTTGGAGTTCTAGGCAGAAGGTTTGACCGCCTTCATTAACGGGCAAGAAAGGTGCTGCGCTCATGGCATGTTTGTGCTATTTTTATTGCAGGTTGCTTAGCTGTGAATCAAACACGTGCCTCAAATTGCTTTGCAAAGGCCTTTGTGCCACCCGCACCTGAACTTTGTATTCTGTCAAGTGCTCGCTTGTGCAAAGCAGCCCTTTTGACCCTGAAGTTTGCCCTTGTTGCTCTATCTCTTAGTAACCTTTCATATCTTTGTCGAGGGAGACTGCGCTCTTTTGTTTGTGTGGCACAAATGATGCATTGTGACCCACTTTCGCACCAGGACGACCCCACGCGTTTCGCTTGCTTGAGGGAAGCTCCCGTGGCTATATGGTTCAGGCGCTTGGCTTCACTTCTGTGACGTGGTATTTGAGCTTTGAAGCAGTGAGCTGGGCGCCCCAACCATGCGGAACTCCGTGGGCTTCACCTGGAGCTGGGTCCGGTTGGGGTGTTGCCTCTTGCCGCGTGCAGGCGCCGAAGCGTGGGCGGCGAGGCCCGATGTGTGAGCCACTGGAAGCAAGCGCTGAGTTGTTCTCGTGTTGAGGGTGATAGTTCCGAATGGAGCTGGTTCATAGATTGACCATGCCCGCTACTTGTCCATTCTCCAAGGCCCTGGGACCGAATTTGGCACCTTTAGGGTACAAAGCCGGGGGTTGGGGTCACATGGCTTTCATGGGCTGCAAGTAGGAACTTGTGTGAGCTGATTGTATGCCATGGATTGTAGATATGGTCTTCAAGGCTTTAAAATGGCGTCTTGCCATGCCTGCATGGAACTGGTGCTCGTAGACTTCATGCTTGTAAGCGTCATAATCACGTTGAGGAAATATCATCGCCACCAATACAATAATGCGTCCGCATGCGCACACCCCGCATGAATTTGATTTGTGCTGAGGTACCAAGGCACCGATTGAGATCCAGCTGACCAACATTAAGTGACGTCTACCATCAGGTACTTATACCTAGGTCTTCCATTTGGTCACTTTTTAGGGCTCTGGGCATTGTTTTGCTCGTTTCAGATTTTGAGCGGAAAACCGTGGAATTAGCGGGAAACCTTGATTTGGCAAGTTTTCTTCCGGAAAGTGAGCGGAATCGACGGGAAATGAGCGGGAATCAGCGGAAATTTGCGGGCACGCACCAGAACAATTTTCCAATTGAGCGCTTTTTTATTTTTATGATTGAGCGTTGTTGGGTGAAATGCGCGGTGGTTTGCTCCAAATGGAAAGCTATGGACAAAAGTTCCCAGGGAAGAGCTAGAGATATATATATATATATATATGTATAACTCACCAGAAGTGCGATGTCAAGTGCAAGCACCTGCTGATCGATGGGAACAACTTGAGTACGCAGTGGATCTAAAAGCAAGTTGCAAGGCGTTCGCATAGCAACCTTGCGGCCAGGAAGGGACAGACAGCGAATTCGAAGGTCATAGTTCTGTGCCTCCCATGGCATACATGTTATGCGCTATTTAGCTTAGCTCGATTTCCGGTTGCTGTGTTGCGCTCGGCTTGCTGGAGCAGAGCAACCAGCGCGCAAGCGTCCGCCAAAGTTTTAGGTCCATGTAAAAAGGGTGTCTGCCAGTTAGTCGCTGTTTTGCGTGTGTGCGCTAAAGTCAAGGAAGGCAAGAGCGTTCAAAAGTCCACTCTTGCTGCAGTACACCTTTTGCTTGTTAACATCGAACTATGAAACCCTAAAAAGGGGTTCCCCACAGAGGAGATATCTCTACAGCTGATAGTTGTTTGAGTTTCATGCTCAGAAGCTGCCTGGTGTGCTTCTTCAAACCGCAGGTTGGTAGCAAGACTCCTCGTTCCTCGCCCCGCCCCTCACTGCGGCGGAAGACGGCGCACAACTTCCGCGGGGGGCTCGGGCAGAGATCGCAGCTTGGAGCTAAACAGTTTCGATGGAAAAAGCCAAAGTGTGGGCAACTAGGCCCTCCAAATTCTGACACTGCCAGAGTTTCTGCTTGAGTGGTTGCTTCATGCCTCTTTTGCGTAGGCCTGAATCTGTTTGCTTATGTGCCTGCTGGTTGGTCATGCCAGTTTCCTTTGCAAATGTTGTTTTCCCAAAGTTGTATGTTGTCTGGATGGCAAAAGGAGCGAGCTCGAGAATGGATGGTTTGTTGTAATACTGACCCTGCCTAAATCAACCTGGCGGATGACTGTTGGAGGATGTTTCCCCCAAGAGCTGGCTTGTTTATACTATCGGTGTAGGCATCCCGGAACATGCTTGGGATCCAAGTCTGCCTGTGTCTAGGCAAACAAGGGCAAGCCCTTTTCAGCACCCTCGGGGTCAACGCCACCCACGGAATCTATCATGTCTTACATTAAGCCTGACTGGCATATAGAGTGCGGGTGCAAAAGCAAACGAGAAAGCTCCCTTTCTACCAGGGTCACCGGTTGTAACTCTCAACATGGCAGCAATGGTGGGAAAGCAGCTATGTGGTGCATGTCTGTGTGTGTGTGTGCCTCAGTTGCAGCATAACATGACTGTGATTGACGAGAATAGGCGTTCCATTTTGGCTACAGTAACCCATTCTAGGACCTCTATAAAGGCAGCCGTGACCTTGTCACTTTTAGAATCGCAGATGACAAGCCACGCGATTCTCACATCAAACGTCCGCACATGTTTGTTTTGCGTGTGTGTTTGTGCTTTGGAGATTGTGCATGGATGTGCCTCATGTTGCACTTTCTTTAGATTGTGCACCATCAGCGGGAATGATGTTTGCGCCGCAGTGTAAACCCTGACGATGATATGTAGTCAGGCGTCCTAAAGTACCAAAAGAGCCTCCGCGAAAGCTTGCGAATGCCTGTCGCGAAAGTGCCTAGGGAAGGTCCCGCCGCGAAAGGCCCCCATGAAAGCATCCATTCTGAGAATTCGCAGCAAGGCTGTTTCGCTGGCGCATGCGCATGGAGTTTAATGCTAAACGTTTTCAGAGAGAAGAGACAAAGTTTTCCGCGAAAGCTCCGCGAAAGCAGCATCGCAAAAGGGTCCGCAAGGGCAAATTTATATCATCGCTTTTTAGACAAGAGCTTTAGGCACTGTTCCCGCAAGGGGAGGAAGGCAGGGAATTTGGTTGTTTTTCCCGCTGTTTGTCAGTCAATGTTCTACCTTTGTGCCAGTGTCTTCCAACTTGTCCAGCTTCAAATTCTCGTGGGTGGCAGGGTGCAATCCCCCAAGCAGTGAAGCCCATGTTCTCACAAAGACAATCTTGGGGCTTGACGGAAGCACAAATGAACTAGGAAGATTTACACTTTCGCCAACGAAGCCTGCATCTAGTTCAGTCAGCAGCAAAGTCCTTCGGCGCGCCACATCTCATTCCGTCAGCAAGCCGCTGGCCTTGACGCCTGTTGCACGAGCTCGAGCGTCGGCGTTCCGGATCCTGCGGAGGGCTTCCGGGTTCGGCACGCACCGATCCCATGCTCTGTGCATAGAACAAATCCGCCAGTTGGTGGTGCGCGTGGTACTCATATTCACCCATCCCAAGTGAAGCGGATGTTGTCCATCATGTCCGAAGGCAGTAAGAGGACATGAAGATGAGGTTGGGAATTGAAGTTGAGCAGAGTATCGCAGGTGCAGATCCAAAGTGGCCCTACTTTGCAAAGCGCGCCCCCAGTGCCAGCAGTCAGTGGATCGCTTTGTTGCAAAACATGTTTTGACCATGCTTTGTGGCCAAGAGTTGCCATTTATCCATCGTTTGCATGTTCCGCCTTGAAGGAATAGCTTCCACCTGTGATGTGTGTGTTGGTGGGCGCGTGCGCGTGCTCTTGCGCGTGGAAGGGCTCCCGGGTTTTGAGGGGGGGGGGGGGTTAAAAGGAAGCCAACAAGCAAGCCAAAAGGGTTTAAAGGGTTTCTGGGTTGGAGAGAAACCCAAAGCTCACTTGGCGAATTTACCGAAAATGAGCTGTTGGCTTTGGTCCATAGCCAAGGCTCTAGGTTTTTTGGATGCGTACGCGTGCGCGTGGGCATGTGCCTGCGCGTGTGGGTCTGCGTTTGAGTGTGGTGTGTGTGGTTCTGTGTTTTCGGGGGCACTATCCATTGAACCATGGGTAAGGTACGTGACATGGTTGGCCCCCATGTATACTGAGCACATCTGGTGGTTGCAGCTGATCGCTGACTGGACATTGCCCAGGTCCAGTCTTAGCCGCAGGCGCTCGACTCCCCGTTGCGGGTTGCAGCTGGGCCAGTTGCACTTTGAGTAACTGCTCGCGTCTTGGGGTAATACAAGAAATGATCCCATACCTCAGGAGCCACCTTTGGCCCTCACCCACCGCACAGAACCCTTCTAAGATGTTTGTCGAAGAAGGCTCTAAGAACCTGTCCACCGCGATCGGGGGCCTTTGGTGTCCTCCCTTTATCAACCACCTTTGGGTTCGCGAAGGGTTGGTTCCCAACACCAGCTGTTTCTTGTTGCTGACAATGAAGAGCGGTGCTTAAGCGTTGGGAGTTGAACCGCATAACTTGCATACCGTGCAAAACGGAGCCTTGGGTTTGCGCTGCTCGCACCCCGAAATGCTTCCGAAGACTCCAGCGTCGTGCTCTATCGGGGGCTCAAGGCAACTCCCAGCATCCTTTGGTCCGCTGTTGTCCAAAGAGATCCACACTTTTTGCGGACAGCAATCTTTTGTCAAGAGTCCTTGTTACTGGGTCACATTGGATCCCACTGAGCTGGATCTTGGTGAGCTGTGAGTGAGCGTGCTCAATACTGTGCCGTACGCAGGGCAGAATCACGTCACTTGTCGTGTGAAGCTAAAAAGACCGGGTAAGAGTCATCTGATCATGTGACTTTGTGTACGTGTTCTCAATCGATTAAATCAAAGAGGAGTTAGCAACAAGTTGATTGTGCAGCCTCCTAGATGCAGAGAACCCTCAATTTTGGCATCAAGGTGTGCCGGCTGCTGCTGGCCCTTACCAAAGCTTCAACTTGTTCGAGCAGGTTTGTCAGTCCCTTCCGATGGCAACGCATGAGTTTCAGGTATCGTCTTCAAACAGATATCCGGGCAAGGGTGGTGGGTCGACATTCCACTCCGCCAGATGCGAACACACAGGGGCGGTGCAAGGAAGTACCATCCCTCAATCCGCAATGGAGGTTTGCAATCACCTGCACGTGTCTCAGCGTGCGGCCAGGCGCGAAGGAGAGCTCAGACAAGGAAAAGGCTGAGGCGCAGCCACATGAGAAGCAGAAGGAGGAGCCAACAGAAAAACCAAAGGAAGAACCAAAGGAAGAGCAGAAGGAGGAGGAGGAGGAACAGAGGGAGGAGGACGAGGAGGACGAGGAGGAGGAGGAGGAGGAGGAGCAGAAGGAAGAGGAGAAGGCGGAGCAGAAGGAAGAGGAGAAGGCGGAGCAGGTGAAAGAGGAGAAGGCGGCGCAGGAGGAAGAGGAGAAGGCGGAGCAGAAGGAAGAGCAGGAGGCGGAGCAGAAGGAAGAGCAGAAGGCGGGGCAGGTGAAAGAGGAGAAGGCAGAGCAGAAAGAAGAGGAGAAGGCGGAGCAGAAGAAAGAGCAGGAGGCAAAACAGAAGGAAGAGCAGAAGGCGGGGCAGAAGGAAGAGCAGGAGGCGGAGCAGAAGGAAGAGCAGACGGCGGAGCAGAAGGAAGAGCAGGAGGAGCAAGTGCGCCATCAAGACAAGTCCAGAGTTTAGTCAGAACGCAGTGGCAGAGTCAACTTTGGCAGCGGAGGCGATGATGCGAAAGCCAATGCCTGATAAAAGTCAAGGCGCAGGGAAGGGGGGTTTCTGGGAGATTGGGGACAGGTCCAGAAGGACACATGTCCACATTCTTTGGAGCCACAAGGTTGAAGCCTTTGCTTTGGAATGTGTAGACATATGCTATACTCAGGACCTGTTTCGGGCATAGGGAAGGACGGATTGTAATGCGTCGGCATGTAGCAGCGAAACAACGCGATTCCACTTTGGCATGTTAACCTCGTGGATGCAGGTCGACCCAACTTCAAACGATTCCAAACATATTGGATCGAAGGCGACAGTTCAACAGGGCCTTGCTGATTCACCCCGGCAAACAAGGCACGAGCCGCCAGCCCCTCTTTCTCGACTGCCTGTGCATACAAATCACCAAATTGCTTGTAGTCTCATCAGAAATATGTCCAAAGAGCCGTCTCCTTGACTCCTTTGGCAACTGCTGTCCTGAATCAGAGTGCGGCACACGCGTCTCTCCTTATCACTGTGGCACCTGCATTGATTTGACTCATTCGGGCCCCATCCTGAACACCGCAAGATGCCTACTGTAAACGGTCTGACAACGGGAGTGGTGAGCAGAAGGGTGTCAGGATAAATGCAGCCCTTGGGCCTTGTCAGAAACCATGAAGCTGAATGGTTGGAGCGTGACGTGCAACTGGCTGAGCTATTATCACCTCAGTTGCAAGACAAAACCCTTTGACTTGTTTTTTCCCTCGGTCGTGTTGCATTCTCTTCGCTTCCTTGGCTTCGGTGCCTGATCCGCAAAAGGGCAACTCGCGATCGACAGGTCTGTTTCCAACATGTCTGGAGTCTTCATGGTTGAGTAAAAATGGATGGCCAACCTTGCGTGTTGTGTTTGGAGTCCACTCAATCAGTTGTCCAAGCTGCACCGTCTCTCCAAGTCAGCCCGCGAAAACCGTTCTCGCCCAGCTTTCGGCAGGCCGGTCAGCTTCTTTCCGAATGGAGCCTTGGCGCGGAGTCGTAACACCGGCAACTACGATGTACACAGGTTTACCGTGGGACGATGAGTTGACAGTATATCATCTAGTTTCAAGAGGTCTCACGCAGAATTCTTGTGCAGCGGCGGTTTTTTTTAATGCGGCTACCTCAGTTGCACGTGAATAGCAGGTGTGCGAATGCTCAGTTTGTTTTATCGACAGTGCAAGCAGGGGTCTACACCTATCGCATTATCATTCAGGTACGACTTTTCCTGGCATCTTTTGAACGCCAAATTATCTATGTGACTCACAGTCAGATCAAGCACTGCAAGTCACCCAGTTGTGCGTCACCTCTTTTGTGGTTGATTCTGTACCAGCAATCGCCCAAAGCATTCCGCGCGTTGCTCCTCGATGAGCCTGCGATCATAGGCATCCTTTTTGGTTGTTTTGGTAGAACAATTAGCCCTGGTTTACCTGGTGGTTTAATCATCTACCAGGACCATCTATTTACCCTAAAAGGACACCTATGCCTGCGATGCTGCCGTCACGTAGCACGAAGACGAAGCATTCCCAGCAAGCTGACCTCACGTCACGGGACCGCGGATCAGGCAAGGGCACCAGGAGAGCACAGATCCTGTGAGGACGAATGACTGGGTTAACATGGTGTCAGTCCAGGAACATGTGACTCAGATGTATTGCCTTTCCACAATGGCCCTTTCCAATCAGTTTCTCCTGCATTCAGCTCAGCAACTGCCAATGCCATGAGTTTGTGTTTTCTGAGGACATGCGGAGAATTTTCGGAGCCTGTCCAGGCTTGCCTACAAAGACCAATGGAACAAACACCCGCAAAAACACGTCCCGATCTTTGGAGACGAAGTCTCGATTTGCAAGTTGCTCTAGCCGAGGAAGTGGAGCTGGCTCGCGCAAGCCGCTTTCCAAGAGAGGGAGCAGATCCCTTTGGGTGCTGAACGACGCAGACTTGTAGAGGGCACCATATTTTGTCACCAGGGAACCCGTTTCAGAAAATACTGTAATTAACAGCGCTGTTGCAAAAAAGGTGGTGACATGAACCTCCCTGGCAATGTATTCTCCCTACCCTCACCTGCAAGGGCCGCCTAACCTGCGGCTGACTAGTAGACTCTGAACGCCCTCGTACTCTTCGAGATGGACAAGTCTTAGCTCAATTTGTGGGTCGAGGAAGTCAGGGACCACTATTTTCGGAATTGGGAACTCTGGATGAGTAACCCCCTGGTTCATGTTGTGTGTGAAGGTGTCCCTCATACGATGCAGGGCTTCTGTTTACAAGACAGGGGTTTTTGGCATGGGGCTGGGCGAGCCCCCAAGGGTCCCGAGCCGGAGAAGACGGGGGGGACTGAGCTTGTTGCCATGGGGCTGCTCGATCAATAGGGAACGGGATGACTTGCTGATGGGACCTCAAGGACCAGTCTGGAGAGACAGGGTTGATGGGCCCACTTGATGGCCATCGTGTTTTGGATGGCTTGCGGTGCCAGAGTATGCTATGCTGAGGTCGGATAATGCCTTGAATTCGGTGTTTGCTCTGTGGCAAAGCGGCAGGATTGTCGCCAAATGATCGATTTCCCTGTGCGTTCCCTTCGTCAGCCAACATCATCTCCCCCCAAAAAAGACTATAAAGAAAGACCCGCCCATTTGAGAAAATGTCCCCCTCTTGTCCCTTTCCCCTTTCCTTCGGAGCGGACTTCCAATGCAAACCCAGCACGAACCCTTCTATGTCTAATCATGCCGCACCTAGATGCCGGCGTCAGATTGTATTAATGAGGGCGTGGCCGTATCGGCAGACTTCAACAAGTTGTTTTAGGAGCCCGAGCAAGAAGAGCAGCCAACTCTGAAAAGAGGGGCAACAACAGGCCTTTTCTCTTCAGACCATTCCGGGCGATGCCCGCACACGCGTTGACACGAATGACAATTAAGCGCATCCTGGGCACTTACAGTTGCGCACATCCTTCAAAGTGACTTCAGCAAAAGAAAGAAGCCTGCTACCTGAAAGTGAGCAAAAATACACCAGGACTCACTGAAGTATGGGGGCTGCAAAGAACAAAGCTCAGGTAATCCCCGCCCTCACAGTGGATAAAGCACTGGCTTTATGCCGCAACCTTGATTCTGTTGGTTTCAGGGACCCTCGATTTCAAGGCTAAACTAAACTGGTTCCCCCAAAGCCTCCAGCGTTTAAGGGGATTCCGGACGAACACCTGCATCTGATCATTAAAATGCGCAGCATTTACCTGCTGGACTCGCGGCGGCCAATTCTTGCGGACATCAGCCGATTTGCCAAGTGATTCGGGGGGGGGGGGCAACAAGAGGCCTCCGTGCTGGCCTGCTTTGGCCGGGGACCGCAAGCTGATGGAATAAATCATAAAACGCGGTCGGCGGCCCTTGGTGTGTGTGTGTGTGTGTGGTGTGTGTGGTGTGTTGTGTGTTGTGTGTTGTGTGGTGTGTGTGTGTGTGTGGTGTGTGTGTGTGTGTGGTGTGTGTGTGTGTGGTGTGTGTGGTGTGTGTGGTGTGTGTGGTGTGTGTGGTGTGTGTGGTGTGTGTGGTGTGTGTGTGTTGTGTGTTGTGTGTGTGTGTGGTGTGTGTGTGGTGTGTGTGTGTGTGGTGTGTGTGGTGTGTGTGGTGTGTGTGGTGTGTGTGGTGTGTGTGTTGTGTGTTGTGTGTTGTGTGGTGTGTGTGTGTGTGGTGTGTGTGTGTGTGTGGTGTGTGTGTGTGGTGTGTGTGGTGTGTGTGGTGTGTGTGGTGTGTGTGGTGTGTGTGGTGTGTGTGTGTTGTGTGTTGTGTGTGTGTGTGGTGTGTGTGTGTGGTGTGTGTGTGTGTGGTGTGTGTGGTGTGTGTGGTGTGTGTGGTGTGTGGTGTGTGTGGTGCGTGTGGTGTGTGTGGTGTGTGTGTGTGTGTGGTGTGTGTGGTGTGTGTGGTGTGTGTGGTGCGTGTGGTGTGTGTGGTGTGTGTGGTGTGTGTGTGTGTGTGGTGTGTGTGGTGTGTGTGGTGTGTGTGTGTGGTGTGTGTGGTGTGTGTGGTGTGTGTGGTGTGTGTGTGGTGTGTGTGGTGTGTGTGTGTGTGTGGTGTGTGTGTGGTGTGTGTGTGTGTGTGTGTGTGGTGTGTGTGTGTGTGGTGTGTGTGTGGTGTGTGTGTGTGTGTGTGGTGTGTGTGTGTGTGGTGTGTGTGTGGTGTGTGTGGTGTGTGTGGTGTGTGTGGTGTGTGTGGTGTGTGTGTGTGTGTGTGTGTGTGTGTGGTGTGTGTGTGTGTGTGTGTGTGTGTGGTGTGTGTGGTGTGTGTGGTGTGTGTGTGTGGTGTGTGTGTGTGTGTGTGTGTGTGTGTGGTGTGTGTGGTGTGTGTGGTGTGTGTGTGTGTGTGGTGTGTGTGGTGTGTGTGTGGTGTGTGTGGTGTGTGTGGTGTGTGTGGTGTGTGTGGTGTGTGTGGTGTGTGTGTGTGTGGTGTGTGTGTGTGGTGTGTGTGTGGTGTGTGTGGTGTGTGTGGTGTGTGTGGTGTGTGTGGTGTGTGTGTTCGTGTGTTCGTGTGTTCGTGTGTTCGTGTGTTCGTGTGTTCGTGTGTTCGTGTGTTCGTGTGTTCGTGTGTGTCTGTGTGTCTGTGTGATCAGTGTATTGGTTGGGCTGGACTTTTCAAGAACCTCAAACAAATGCCAATTGAGTCAGTTTGGTGTGTTTTGCACGGTCGGTGCTGTCGGCCGGCTTTTGTTGTTCTGGCACGTTTCCTGCTGCAGTGTTCGTTCTGTTTGTCCACAGTGGGGGAACAGGCAAGGACAACACTTCATCTAGCAGGTTTGTATGGGTGTGTGTCACATTTGGTTGTTGCCAGAGTAGGCAAGATAAATCAGAAGCAAAGCGGAGTGAATTGGTCTAGGCCATTCAGAATGTGGATGTTCAATTCTATTTGAGAATAACTGAGATTCCACAAGAGGTCCAACCTCTTACTGGAAAGGTGCAAGTACTCCTTGTGTACTTTGACGAACAATCACGCAATGTTGGAAAGCGTGGAAAAGCTGAACGAAGGAACAAGCAATCTAGCCAAAGTCGCAGTCATAGAAATCCCTTCCAAACCTCTCAGCACGTCTCGGATGGAAACAAGGGGATTTGGACATGTAGCTGTGGGTCAATAATCGGTACCCAAAATGGAACCCTGGTAAATGGACGCATGGACTAAAACCTGCGGTCTCATAGTGGTTTGATTTTGACCCATACCCATGTGCGTTTCTCGAATTCAGAGGTCGATTTCTAAATTTGCCGGAGCAGGTGACCCTCGGCTCAAAGCAGGTCAACTCAGTTCGGCTAAGTGCCAGTAGGTCCTTGGGGCAAGATGGATGATCCTTACGCTGCCCAGCTCGTGGATGTGCGAGCTCAGTTCAAGCTCTAATAGGCCTTGATGGGTCTCTCACTTCAGGCCGTGGACTTCTTGTGAGTTTTGCAGATCAAGCATTCGGCCGGTTTTTTTTTGTTGACAAGTGTTACCCTGAAGTTTGGCGCCTTGAACCATTTCGCATCTACCAAGCCATAGTGTCCAGAAGAGCCTGGTTTGGGATCGGCAGCGAATGATTGTCCATTGCACCCCCATTGCGGCAGTGCGGATAATGCACCTCAGACCCTGCGCCTGAGCGCCTGGAAAAGACGAGACCTTCCGTTCCCCGGAAGAGGGGGGGGGGTGGATGTCAATGTCAATGCGTTTCAAACATGAACTGGGAAGCCATATTTGGCTGTGGGTCAAAACAGGGCACCCAAAATAAATTGCCCTGCAAAACGGAACCTTGACCAAAACCTGCGGTCCCCTGGTGGTTTAATGCTGCCGGCCTTATCCACATTGGGGTGCCCCTGTGTTCACCCGGAGCCGCGGCCTGTCATGGCTTGAAGTGGCCGCCCGCGAGCCGAAGCCGCGAGCCGCGTAGCGCCCGCAGGCGTACAAGAAGGCGAATCGCCCAGACCTCTCGCTGCAGATGATTGAAAAACTGACGCCCGGAGCCCGAGCTGAGAATTGCCTTCGCTTGGAACGCGGGTTTGGCGTGAGGTAGCCCATGGTCTAACGTTGTGTCTTGCTTTTTTCCGCAAGAGGAAGCTGATTGACTTTTTTGGGGTTTCACCCCAAACCCCTATTTGGTTCACCCCAAACCCCTATTTGGCAGCAAGCTTGGCCGGGTGTTTTACAGCTGGGACTCTGGCACTGAAGTACTGAGTTGCGGGGGAGAGTTGCTATTAATAAAGGGCTGATGATTTCAACGCATGTCACCTTTGAAGGGTAAAATGGAATTATGTACTGTAGCCCTTTGTCAGCGGCAAGATCTGTGGGGTCTAGATCAGAACCTTGACTTTTACTCCAAGTCGTGGACCCCAACTCACTAGGCAACTGGGATGATCTTGGCGAGGGGTCGCAATTTTGGACTTGAAGTATCTGGTGGCTTTGTGGTTGAGCTTAATATGGGACATTTGGTGCGCGGCCGCAGAATTTGAGCCAACTGGTTCCTGGAGGCACAGTCCTTTGTCAGTTCAACGAAAGTTGCAGGCCCTGCGTTGATATTGCTTGACCTGAAGTCAAAGAAGGAATTGGTGTTCACCAATCAGCAGCCACACATGGCCCAGCAACTTCAGCCGAACACTCTCGATAGCAGAGAGTTTGCAATCAAGTGGTAGGGTAAGGAGTTGATTTCTGAGTTGCCGCTATATCTCAATATTCTGGCCTTCCAAATAGTGACTTTAATTTGGCTTTGACCATCCACCCCGAAAGCGGGGAGGGGCGGGGGGGTTCTTGCAGGAGCCACACAGTTTGGGCGGTGTTGGGCACTTTGAAGGTCTCAAAGGCAGAAGTGACAACTGCGTGGCTAGAACAGAGCAAGTAGACCTGCCAGAGTGTGGCAGGTTTGCTTCTGTTTCAGAACAGGCCCGACCCGTTGCAAGGTTCCCTACCTGCAAGATTTTCATGGCACTGAAGATCAGCCAAGTGGCAGTGGATGATGTCCGTCCAGACACTGGCCCAGCGGCAAACCCAAGCTTGCGGGTATGTCAGTGGCAAACTGACGTGGTCAACTCGGAGTATGCGTGCCTTCACGTTGCTTGACACAAGCCTGAGTTTCCATGTGCAAAAATATGGCCATGTCTTTCGGACATCAACTAGCCAAGTTGTTGGGTAATCAAGTGTTTAGTCAGAACTCATATGCGGCAGGTAGCTTAGGGTGGCCCTGACCACCAACAGATATCACACGCTCAAAGATGACGCCTCCTTCCACCAGTGGAAATGGTCAGAGCCCCCCCGTCCCCCCCCCCAACCCCCCCCTGCCCAATAAACCTCAACACTGCCCTTCAAATGCTGGCCGACCCCGTTTGACCAGGCACAATGCGGTGGTGGAGAGACGGTTCAAGGACATGCCGCAATCTCCGCATTTTTCAGGGGCATTTCAAGGGGGAGGGTATGAGTAAAAAAAAAAAAAACGGCCCCTTTCCTTGAAGTTGGTACGGATGTCATCGACGCATAGGCCCTCAGGGAGTTTACACCATGCGGCTCCTGTTGGAGCCATGGGTATGGGTTTGACCATAGAGATGTGTGACCGTGCCGGGTGCAAGGGCCTGTTCAAACCGGCTGCCCCTCGCCATGGTTCCATCTGCGCCAATAGACGATTTCAGTTGGTGTAGGTGTCGGGTCTTGTTGGCGAGTTGTAGAGAGGACTTTACAAAAACACCAAACATTTGCCAACCAATCACATGGATGGGCGCGGCTGAATCACTGAAGGTTTGCACAAGCTGGATCAGAAATGAAGCTTTTTCTTGTTCCACCAGCTTCAAAAGAACGCGTATCCTCTCCGCTTTGGCGGACACCCTGTGTTTCAATGAACCAGACTCATGTGTCATTCTCAGGAGCAGCGACCGCCTTGTCAGTCCTTGGGCTCAAGGACTGGTGCAGATGCTCCCAATATTGACCCGGGAATTAACCGCAGGCTGTCCCGGTGAAGAAGGAATCCCTCGCTTTTTGGGGGACACCCCAAAAAGTCGACCAGGTTGATTCATCCGTGGTCGGCATCATCTCCTTATTTATCTCACATGGACCTGCGTGGAAGATCGTGGAAGAGAATGTGAAACCAGAAGAAAGGTCAATATCAGCTTCCTTCTGGTTATCCCTGCTAAACTGGGACCTTGAAGTGAGGTCGGGTCTCCGCGGACCAGGATCCTTCCAGGAATGGCAATTGAAAGGCATCACCAATGGATTTTCATTCAGTGGATGCTTGCGGGTCTCGATTTCCACCTCTCCCTTCGAGAATTCGGAGAACTGAGAACATCCCAGCCTGTCACGGACCAGATCCCCCCTACTCAACTCCCTCCCCCCTTCGCCCATCTCCCCATCTCAAGAAAACGAGTCGGCCCTCGCCCCTTTGGCCCTTTGGCCGATTGGCCCTTCAGCCCTTCGACGCCATGGACGCCACGGACGAAGCGGCGAAGCTGCAGAAGCTGAGCATGAAGCTGGCGGATCGGCTCCATGGCGTGGAAGGCAAGGCACGGATCCACCGGACGAGCCGGATTCACGGGGGCGGTTGTGCGGGTTCTTTGGGTTCCGCCTTCCCAAGCGGTGGGGGGTGGTGGTTCATGGCTTGGCGCTTGTCGAGAGGGGGTGTTGGAGAGCTTCTTGTGGTGAGGGGCTCCCAGACCTTGCACTTTACCAGCCTGACACCGGTCAAGGCGCCACCTTTTACTTTCCCGAACCGGGCTTGTCGCCGCAGTTGCTTTGTTTCTTGCGTATAGCACAGTCTTTGAGCTCAAAATCGGCAAGCGGCCGTTTGGCCATGAACCCAAGGCTAAATGTATACGTCCAAAAGTAAGCCCACGGCAGCTTTTTTTTTCTATAACTAAGCAGTGATAGATCATCACCTCATTCGCCACGGGTTCATGTCAGGGGTTCCTTTTTGGGATACGAACTACGTTGAGCTTTTGAAGGAAGTTTGTGGCTCCGGTGACTCCAGGCAACCCAACGGACCTCTTCTGTCGCTTCATTGACGAGGAGAGGTGGCTGTCCATGAGCGTGCTGCTGATGGATAAGAGTCCACTGGCAGACATAGGTGTCCTTTTTGGTTGGTTTGCTTAAAAAGAGGGCCCTGCTTTAGATGGGGCTTATTCCATTTACCAGCGCCATCGATTTTTCCAAAAGGCCACCGGTGCTGGCAGAAGGATGGGCTGTTCTTGAACTGCTTGCATTTGCAAGATCAGCGTAGGCCAATTACGAAGTCGCAATTGCCCGAACAAAAGGGGCTCAAGACATGGGCATCTCAAGATTGTGGCACCGCCAAAATGGCGGTGGGATTGTGCAAAACGGCCTCAACATGATTCTAAGCCCGCAAATAGATCTAAGAGGGGATCACTTTCTGATGAGTATGGTCTGCCGGATAAGTCCAAATTTCACATGATACAAGTGGAGATTGTTGCATGTCATGGCCTTTTGTTGACCTTGGGGCGAGCAACTACATTTTGACCCACGCGAAATGTACTCCCTGCTTTTGGTCTTTCGATTTAGATTTCCCACCCCTAAAAAGCGATGTCTATATGAGTCTGAACTGGTTTATGGCTGGTGGGGTGCTCTTTTCCTTGAAACAGATATCAATCCTTGCCCTCCCTCAAGCTTGCGAAACCAAGTCCCCATGGCGGCTTTCATGTTGGCACGTCAGCTGCCGTTTGTTTTGCTAGCATACAGGGGGGTGTTGGCCGATCCCAACCCAGTGGAGTGGGTCATTTGATGTGTACATCCGGCCTCCCATCCCCGCGCTTGATGGCTTCATTTCCTTCGGTCGCTCTCTTGGACTTGACCAGTACGCATTCTAAACTGCACCCAAGCAGCCCACCCCGCTCACCGCAAAGAGTGGCGAGGCGTGGCCTGTGAAGCTGGGTCATGCATTTGTATGTATGACATACAATGGTTACATGAAGGCATGCATACACTCACGCACACAAACACATTTACATAATATATACACGTACACATACACATATACACATACGTACGTATATGCACACACACACAGACACGTATACGCACGCACGCACCCACGCACGCACGCACGCACGCACCCACCCACCCACCCACCCACGCACCCACGCACCCACGCACCCACGCACCCACGCACCCACGCACCCACGCACCCACGCACCCACGCACCCACGCACCCACGCGCGCACGCGCGCATGCGCGCACGCACGCACGCACGCACGCACGCACGCGCGCGCGCGCACGCGCGCACCCCGGCGCTCCCACACACACACACACCCGCATACACGCACATACAAACATGTGAGCGGAGTTGTTTTGTTCTTCTTCTTGTAGTAAGGAGGCAAAAGGAGAGTGGACAGGACATATCAGGCCCCGCGTAAGCATATTACTGCACTCGCGTATGCGCGCGTAGCCACTTTTGGACAGTCAGCTGGGGAGCTCCTCGCGTAGGCGCCGCGTAGGCTCGACTCGACATGTTGCCCGGAGGTGCGAGCATACGAGTTTTAGCAAGAAACGCACACTGCGTAGGCACTTTGAGTGCAAAACTCCAACCGCGTAGGCTCGCGTAGGCGTTTTAAGCCTGACATTCACCTCGCGTAGGCCACTCCGCACGGTATTTGAACATGGCGTAGGCGCCGGCGTAGGCATCAGCATTACCTTCCCAAAAACAACTCTACTCATGTGTGTATAATGTATGCTTGTATAATATATATATACATTATATATATATATATATTCACAGAGAGACAGACATACAGACAGACAGACACACAGAACGCGCGACCAACAGGGACAGACAGACAGACACGGACAGACAAGCAGGCGGCAGGCAGGTAGGCAGGCGGACAGACTGACACGCAGCCACACAGACACACAGACACCCAGATACATACGCACAACATTGTTATACATATACTGTTACATGCACATACATACACCTACGTACACACATACTTTCACCTGCATACACGTACATACCAATACATACACATACATACACATACACATAGACATACATACACATACATACACACACACACACATCCACATACAGCCACATACATACGCATACAGACACATACATACTCAAATACAAACATAAACATACATGCACATACATACGCATACACACGCACACACGTACAAATGCCTATACAAGTAAACACATAGATACGCATATATGCACATACATCCACACGCATACACATAGACACACACACCATACATACACACGCATACACTTACATACACATAAATGCATATCTACATATTTGGCTGCTACATTTGCATATCGATGCATGCATGCATGTGTGCTTTGCGTTGCCATGCCATGCCATGCCAGACTTGCAACCCCCGAAGTTCCACTCGCAGAGGATGATTGTTCGAGTTGGCAAAGGATGCAACATCGGGGTGTTCTTGTAGCATATAGACATGCCATACAGGCGTACACACGTATGTGTATACACATACATGGATGATGTTCAGCACCGTCTAGGATACGTGTTTGCAATCTGCTTGATATCATGAGAACGAAACACAAAAATGTTCAAGGAGCCGGACAGAACCCATTGCCTTGTCAAGCCAGCAGGATGAGAATATGGCCTAGGGGTTGAATTGAGCATGGAAAGCACTCCCAAACCCACCATGCTTGGTTACACCAGATCCAAAAGTGTCTTAGAACAAGCCACAAACGCTTCATAGGCTTCGATTTTCTCAATGCCCCGAGGCCTCCGTCGCACTTCCTTCCGGGACGCCCCGGACCTGCCAGACCACACCGGCCCTTTCAGCCGCGCGAACTGCGCGTATCGCTATCTCCTGCAAGCAGCCGAGGCCCATGAGGCAAACCGCGGTGCGGCGAGCCGCTCGAAACCTCGCGACCCTTTGGTTAACCTTTTAGTTCTGGGTCCTTTGGGCAACTGAGGCTAGCCCTCTAAGAAAAAGAGAGATGTAGCTGGTGGAACAATAGCCATGAAGTGTGCCAATCCATCGGTTGCCGCTACCCCATTATGATAGGCACGAACACCTAGCCAGCAACGTAGTAGGGATTGGAATGAAATCAGTGAAGGCAAGTGTTGGATTTGTTGATTGAACATTGAAAGGCACAGTTGAAATGGCAATTTGAAATCTGAGTTTATTGTTTTGGTCAAGGCCCCTGGTACAAAATCAGATAGTCGATGCGACATTTGTGAGCTCAGTTGGGAGATTAGGGGTCTGGAAAAGTCATATTTGTTTCTGGGTGCATGTGATAGTAGGGTGGAGCGGTTGTTCTCAAGGAGTTTTTATATTGCTGCTTTTGGTGGTTTGAGGCATAGCGTTTGGTCTGAACATTTTAGTTCACTTTCCAGTTGGGGGGTAATGTAGGGGGAAAAGGGGGCCCGCGGTGGTTGGAGTCAACGGGTGAAGCTGGGTGATGCACATTACTGACCTTGTAGAAGTGAGAACCTTGGCGACACGGTTCACCAGCAAGTTGCACAGAGATGAAGTGGTTGCATGATTCGCTTCGGGGGCTAGGGGCATTTGCGAGGGGGCTGTTGCTGCCTTTCAGTTTCACTCAAGGGTTTTGGGAGGGCTTGGGAGCGTTTGGGATTGGAAATTGTGGCTGAGAGGTTTGACATGGCGTTTTGTCGTGATCTAGAAACAGACCGCTGAACAAAGCTGAACATGTTGATGAGGTTCTCGCAAGAGTTCTGTCTGACATTGCCTTTAGCCGCTGTGCTTGCAAGAAACCAGGAGAATGGCTGAGCGGACCTTGATAATTTGTTCGACTCCAGATTGCCCATTCCAAGCAAAAGGTCTTGATACAAAATCAAGCGGGGCTGAGTACATTTCTTGCTTGCGGGATTGGTTGTCAGCGATCTTTGGTCGATTTGCCACGAAGTCCCTGAAAACCAGGGACGGATAGCTTCCAGGGAAATAGGGCTAAATGATTGCCAAGATTTGGCACCTGTATCACGACTGAGTTTGGTCCAAGCACCTAAACCACCTTCCAAATGTTTAGGCCCTTGTCGTAGGAGCTCTTTTTGTCGCAGGATATCTCGGTGAAGCGTGTGCCGCCGCGGACGTTTCTGCGCTTGAACCCCAAGAAGATGCCGGCGATGGTGGAGCAGGAGCGGATCGGGCTTCCTAGCTTACAGCAGGAACCCAAATGCCTTTTTGTAGAGGTTGTTTTTTTGGAGGACCCCTTTTGCGTGTTCTACGTATGTGCAGGAGCCTGCAGCAAGGAGGCGTTTCTTGGAACAAGTCATGACCCGTGAAAACACCGCAAAACAGTGAGAAATTGAGCGAACACTGATTTTGCTCCTGGTTTGGGGAGTTGTTTAGGTTTGTGGTCAATCAAAACTGCTGGATGCGAAAGTTTTGCAACATCGATCCACGCTGGATAGATATGTTTCGTGTTTGATATTGAAGAGTTCTGCCGAATCAAAGCATGTTCACTGTGGGTGGGGTTTTGCGCAGTCAATGTTTGCTCCCCTCCCAACTGAAACAGTCTGACGAGAAGAGAAGCTATCAAAATCAGCGGATACTCCGTGAGCCCCTCGAGACTGATTGTGGGGGGGTCCTGTTTGTTTGCAGACAAAATTACATGCAGGTAGGATGTCGCCAGGGTTAGGTTCTGTTCTGAAGCTGGCGACCGTCGCCTTCCCAAGTGTTTGCCACGTCCTCAACACGAAACATGGGATCAACAATTTGTAGCCCCCAGATTTGTCAAAAGAGTCATTTTCTTTGGTCCTCTCCTTTGGCTTCTCGGCTGCTCATGTTGGCCGGCCACCGTCAGACCATGGAGCGCTTGCAAGATGTGAAGCCTGCGCCTGTAGTGAAGGTTGCTCCTCGGATGAAAGCGCTTGGTGAAATGTCTTTGCGCTCAAGACTCACTGGCAATACTGACAGAACAGATTCTGGCGTGGCTGTTGTTATTTCGGCAATTCAAGTTGTTGAGCTTTCACTGTAGGGATCGTCACGACCTGTGGGAAGGCGGTTCAAGCATCGGTTGCTAGAAAAAATGTCCATCGCTTCCACTTTACAAACCAGCTCACGTGGTTGTGCTTCGGGTTGGTGCACGCAAAACTACCATGGTGGCCACGGATGGCTTTTCTTGCCTGCCGCCGTTTGTTTCCGAGCCTTTTGAGACGGCACCCCGACACCTGCTCCGTGTCTCACTTGATGCTTGGATATGTTGAGTCTTTTGCGTGGTGCAGCAACTTGAAATTATTTAGGCGGCACCCCAAAATCAGTGATGGTTGAGTCTCAAAACGGTTGAGTTTTAATCTAATAATTACTCTGCGTTGGTACGTCACTCGCAATCAGCATGATTGCAGCACCCACTGTTATCAAATAGTAAACATGTCATCAATGTGGTTGTGCTGTGCCGACATGCTGCAGAGACAGCTGCCTTGTGGTGTTTCACATTTGAGAACTAGAGCTTCAGCCCCGTGCGTTTGAGAAGGGCCTACCGACACTCCCATCCTGAGGGGCGGTTTCATATGTCTACAAGAACACTGCCAATTGTGAACTAGACAGCAGTCATGTGTCAAGTCATGTATATGACTGTGACTATGTGTCTTAAGAAGCTGCGCAAGGCAATGCCCCTTGCCAATGGAATTTGGTGTAGCCCTTGGTTTCCCAAGGACCATGGCAACAGAAACTGCAAGGGCGAGCTGGGGCATGTGGTGTCCAAGAAGCTGGGCCGTCCCATCGCCAAGGAGGACGTCAGGCGAGAGTCAGTTCACCAGGGACCTGTGATGCTTGTTGCACCTCGGAAAGTGGCAGCTTTGTAAGAACCAGCAAGTTGAGAACTTTGGGCTAAAGTGTTAACCGTAGGTGGTCGCTTGTCTTGACTCTTTGTAAGTGTCCACTTGGGCCACCATTTTGGCTCAAGTGGGCACTTCCCTTCTGTCTTGGAATCTGAAATTTCTCATTCCCCTCCTATCAAAGCCATGTACACCCCCGCCTATGCCGGTGCCGCGGTTGCAGAGGCTAAGGCGAAGGCAAAGGCATCCATGGCGAAGTACCTGGCAAGCCTTGTGAAAAAGGAGGAAGAAGGTTGGACCGTCCTGGCGGCTGAGGTCCCTCAGGCACCGGACGAACGGTTCTTCTCCAGCGCCGACGAGCTGGAGCAAGCCCCACTCATCCCAGCCAAGCGTAAGGCCGAGGACGAGCTGATGGCGGACTCCCCCCCTGGGGTGGCGCAGGTGCCGAAGGCCCTGACACGCCCCCCAGGGGCGTTCCTGGAACTTCTCGACCCTCCAGAGCCGGATGTTCCCATGGAGGAACTCCTGGCGGAAGACGAGGAGGAGCCCCCGATGGAGGAACCCCTGGCGGAAGATGAGGTGGACCCGATGTCCGACACCAAGTGGCAGGGACGCCAGGACCTGATGGAAAAGGCCAGGGCGCAGGCGTCCTCGGAGGGGGATGAGGACCCCGCAGCCCCCCCGCCAGGGGGAAGCGTCTTCACCAAGGCCCTCAAAGTCTCTGAGGGCCTTTACCAATTCAGTGCGGACCAGATGGCGGGCGACTTCCCGTGTTTCGATGCGACCACGGCCGCCAGGCTCCGCCGACTGCAGGCCAAGGATGTCCAGCGGCTCCTGACAGGCTTTGAGGGCCCCCAACTCAAGCAGGGGGGCCTGGAGCGCGTGGTGGAGGCGTTCTACATCGCCAAGATGAAGTATGAGCATGAGGCCCTGCTCAGCACCCCAGGACAGAAGGTTGGCAAGCGCGCTGGCCTGGGGTATGGGGGCCTGGAGAACCGCCCCCTGGGTAAAGAGCCCGCATCCTGGATCTGCCCCTGCTGCACCATGCCCTGGGTGAAGAAGGGCGCCAGGAAGTGTATGGGGTGCGGCAAAAAGACGGAGCCCATCGACACGGCGTCCAACTTGGCCACCCTGGAAATGGCGGGCACGCACTGGCAGCTGACAGTGGATGACCAGGGCAATGCGGTCTGGACGGCGGCCCGGTCCGCAGGTGCCAATGGCCCTGATACGGACCGGGCCCGCGACCTCAAGCTCAGCGCCTCGGTGGATGTCAGCGAGCTGGCCACCGACCCGATGGCATGCGAGAACCTGGACCAGGCCAGCTTCTCATTTTGTTCCCTCCTCGGTCCGGGCGGTGATCAGGAACTGCCCCATGGAGCTGGACGAGGATTTCCTGACGGCCCCAATGGGGGAAAGGCCCCCGTTGCCGGGCGACAAGGAAGAGGGCCAGGAGTGCAGGGCCTTCCACCCGTCGGCAGTGAAGGCCTTCAAAATCCAGACCCGGCTCAACGCCACCACCATCGCCCAGGAAGAGGCCAAGAAGGCAGACCAGGTGGCAGCGGTGGAGCGATCCGCGGCGGTCCTCCACGAGCTTCAAGGAGGGGCCATCGATGGAGGAGGCGATGGGGGCCAACTCCTCAAGAATTTGGACTTGGATCTCTTCCGCGAGAAGCTGCTGGATAAGCTGGGCGCGGACTGGGGGAGGCCCACACCGGAGCTCCTCCAGGCCCAGACCACTGCGGAAGAGGCGAAGGCAAAGCACCAGGCCAGACAAGCGAAGGGCGCCCTCGAGACCAGAATGCTCGAGCCCATCAAGCCTCCATTCAGTGCGTGGCCTAGCGAGGTCCGAGTTGCCATTGAGACAGGGGTCTTTGAGCCGACCACGGCATGGAGGGATTTCAGCATGGACGACCTCACGTCCCTCACGGACTCTTACCTCGAAGCCAAGGCGGTCATCTCGCTGGGGAGGAACCCCTTTCCGGCGGCACTCCTGGCAGATCTGCCGGATCTGGCGGGGATCCCCATTCCAAAGGCGGGGGGCTCTGGTGCGGCGCGCCCAGGTGCCGAGGGCCCTGACAGGCAGCCCACCATCCCCCCATCTTCGGGCTCTGGTGCGACGAGCTCAGGTGCCGAGGGCCCTGACAAGCCGTCCGCCACCCCGGGGGGCCTGGACACCCAGGACCCGGAGGTGCAGCTCGCGGTCCTGCGCTGGATGATGAGCAAGCGTGTCGGAGAGGTCCGCATCTTTGCGGGCCGCTGGGTCCGACGACCGGGGCCCGTACACGTCCCGGACTGGGCCAACAACCTCACCAAGGTGAATCCGGAGGCGCTGGAAAAGGGTACGCATCCCAGGAACCACCAGGCGGGTGGACTCCCATGGGCCAGGTACTCCGTTGAGGAGCTGAACCAGCAGGCCAAGGCGGGGGACCGACCATACCCCGAGGACCTGCGATCCATCTTCTGGGCGGCCCCCCACGATCCGGAGGAGGACTTCCACTGGGCGCGCCAGATCTCGTCCTGGACACTCCCAGGCTTGCTGGGGATGTTTGGTCACAGCTTCACTCTGCGCCAGCTCTGGGGAGTCTGGGAGTCTCTGCCATTGCTTCAGGGCCCTAGACAGCGGGGCCCGAAGAACAAGGCCCAGAATCAGATCCGCCTGGAAGGCTGGGAGACCCTGAAGGAAGATGCTCGGTGCTTCCTGAAGGAGGAGGGCCTTCCGTTTCCGCAGACAGGACCGGAGTGGCGCCTGGTCTACCGGGCCATGGGCAAGGTCCTTGCGGCCCGGGCCTTCCTCACGGACACCCCGGCGGAGGTAATGCAGCTCCCGGTCCAGGACGTGGCGGACTCCAAGGAACAGATGATCCTCCGGGCGGTATGTGATGAGCGCATATCGGTCCCGGTGGAGAGTCTCCAGCAGTTCCCAGAGGTGTACCAGGCCCTCATGGACCGCATTGGAGGCCCGGGGGCCCTGGCGGAGGTGAAAGTCAACTGGCGCTGCAACACGAAGCAGTGGTGGGTCGGCGCAGTCCCCGACTCAGTGGCCCCCTCCATCTACCGCAAGCTCGGATACACCAACGACATGATCAAGTTGATGGGCCTGGACCCCTCCGCCCCCGGGTGCCGGACAGGTGCCGATGGCCCTGACATCCGCCCCAGGGGAGGAGAGGGCGATGAGGGGATCGTCTACCCCCCCATCACATCGGACAACGTCCACGGCGTGGTGGGCAAGGATTACAAGAAGAAGAACTTCTCGGCAGAGACGAAGCACGTCTTCTGGGCGCACATGGAGTGCGGCCTGGTTCTGAGCTCAGTCACCCCATGGGAGCTCATCCCCAAGACGAAGGGGGAGACCCGGGGGGGCTATATGTGCAAGTACTGCAAGGGGTACTGGCGCGCCGGGGGAGGGGGCACTCGCCTCCTCCAGATCCGGGCCGGCAAGGCCATCCTTCAGCTGGTGCTGGACGAGCCGCCCGATGGACTGTACAACCGCTGGGTCAAGGAACGGCTGGAGTTCTACCGCCGGGTAGAGCCGTCTGCCCCGCTGCGGGATGTCTCCGTGGTGGACCAGAAAGTCCCACGGTTTAGGTTCAGCCACGTCACCCAGACCGGCCATGTTTCAGATGCCATCTGGGAGCTGATTCTCCGGAACCCGGAGGCGGCGGCGCTCAAGCGCATTGACGACATTGCCAAGGGGGCCGTGTGATCATGCAGCACTGCGGCCATCCGGAACGGACTCGCAGGGCACCCCGGGGGAGGACAGCTGCCGATGGCGCTGATATCCCCCCCGGGCACAGCACAGGCCTTGACCTGTACCAGGCGAGAAAAATGGGCGCGCTTGGGCTGGTCCGGAGTGCGCCTGGGCTCCCCCCCTCGTTTGGTTTTTCCCTTTCCGTGGAGGCTCCCCGGGTCCCCCCCCCGTTTTCGGGTTTGGCTTTCCGGGGTTTTGGGGCCCCCCCCTGTTGTTGGGTTGGGGTTGGCGCCTAGGGATTTGGCTCCGGGCTCGAGTGGATCATGATGATGTGGAGGCCCCGCCTCCCTTCCCCGTTTGGAACGACCTTCCTAGGGGCCCCAACCGCGGTCCAGTTGATTTTGCATGACCTTGGATTTGCACCAGTGCAGTCGGACGGGGAAATCCTCGTGGCGTGCTGCCTGGAATGGGTCAAAAAGGACCAGGTTGCCAACCCGGATGCGGTGGTCTTCGACCCGCGACCGTGGACACGAATCGTGGGGATGGCACCCGACGATAACCATGTCCTGGTGGCCTCGGACACCTACAACTTGATCCTCGCAAGGATACTCGGCTCCCAACCACAACCGCTGGAGGAGGCGGATTTGGAGCTCGCTACTAAGACCCTGCAGCAACTTCTGTTTCGTGCGGCAGGCGCTAGACAATCGTACACCTATTCTCCACTGGAAATGGAACAGGCCATCCGGGACCGTGAGGAGTGGATCCTCTCCGGATCGATTGAGGCCCCGGATGTCCTGGCAGTGGCCAACAAGTGGCGGCATTGGAAACCAGGGAAGATCAAAACCCAACTGCCGACATCCCAACGAGCGTTGGAACAGCACTTGAGGGCCAGGTGGCTGGAACGCCTCCTGGGCTACTTCATTCCCTTCCGCCACCAGATCCCCTACATGCACCAGGTGATGGGGGTCAAGGAGCTGGAGGAGTTTGGCCACCTTTTCGGAGATGCCCGTTTCCGGACCATCCGAGCACATTGCTTGGCCTATGAGGGCATGCGCAAGATCGGCTTCCAGAACCTCCCCTGGACGGCCGGGGACGTACGGCACCTCATGAACCAGGCGGTCACGCTGGAGGTCACCCCGGCGAAGCTCCAGAAGTGGTGGGGCACTTTAAAGTGGCTCTCCATTAAACTCGGCATGCTCAACGTTGACGAACACAAACAGCTCCTGGCAAAGCGAAAAGCCATCCAAGAGACATTGGTGGACACCCAGGTCAAGC